GAAGTTGGCTTGAAAATGACCCTCAGGATAACTTCCGACTAAAATTTCGGTTCTACGATCTATAATACGTAAGAATTAACATTTGACTTGACGTATTCTGAAACTTCAATTTTTTACACTAAAATTGCCATTTTCAATAGGGAGGGAGGAGGGCTGCATGCAATTTGAGACAACCATCATCAATTTTCTGTTTACAGACATTAAAACGAAAATATTAACGTATGACACAGTATGCCTTCACAAACATTCACACGGGAACACGTATGCCCACTGACTATTCAGGAGGTCCTTAAAGTCCCTTCCACCTTCACTAAACTTTTACCTAGTGAATATTTTGACAGCCTCAGTGGTGTAGTGGTCAAGGCAGTTCGCTGCCAACACTGAGGTCCCGGGTTCAATCCCCGGAGGTGACTGATATTTGAGGACACTCAAATATCAGTCATCGTGACTGTGGATGACTATGCCACTCCAATGCCCTGACCCTTCGAGGTAACAGGGTGCGGGAGGGACATAGTCACCCAGTATGTAATCCGTCTGCACTGTTCGGCTGGGTTGTGAACAATCGGTAATCGCTCGTAGTGTGCGCTACTGCCAGCGCTACCTATCAATGTAGATTGCAACAACACAGTCCAACTCGGTGGAGGCATGGCCGTGCTCCGAAAGTCCGTGCTCTGCAGCGTCTGCCAGTCTTTGATGAGACCTTCCGTTGGCTATCAGACGGCCGCTGAGCCTTGCGGGAATATAGAGGATACACAATGTATCAATAGTACGAAGTTATGAGGCACGGTCCAACTTCGGGGTGCACGACGGCAGGGTTCCTGCCAGTTGCCTTGGCCCCTTGAGGGCGCCTCGCCGGCCAGCCCGGCCCTTACTTACTAGTGAATATTTTGAAACGAAACTTTGGGGATATTCATAAATTAATGTAAGCTACTTTTTGGGGAGGAGCTGCAGACCCCGCCTTGTCCTTCAATGTATGTATGTATAAGCCGCTTTTACGGCACGCTAGGGCGCGCTGCGACGCCTACTCTCCACAGAAATCTGTCGTGGTAGAGATCCTCCGGAAGCTGGCATCTCTATCTCTTCACGGATGCCCTCTACCCACCGTTCGGCCGGACGCCCTCTCCATCGCCTACCTGTGGGAGGGGGGGGACCCACTCCAACACCTTCTTCGGCAACCTGGTATCAGCCATTCTCTGCACATGCCCATATCATACCAATTGCTTGGTCATGATATTGTGCACAATCGTCCCCTCAACGCCCATTATCTCTCGGACACGTTCATTCCTGACACGTACTCTCCTCGAGATTCCAGCCGATCCTCGCCAGAAATCCATCTCGGTCGCCTTGATCATTTCTTGGGTCCGCTTCTTCAACTGCCACACTTCACTGCCACAGGTGATTATAGGCTTGACAACCGAGTTAAAAATCCTCTTTTTGTGGTCCTTGGAAATCCTTTGGTCCCAAAGAATCCCATTAAGCATGGCGATGGCTTTCCTTCCTTGAAGATTACGGTCCCGAATGGCCTGATCCAACTTCCCATCCGAAGTCAGCTTCACCCCCAGGTACTTGTATTGTTCGCAACTTTCTATATGTTGATCATCCTCCAGGACTATGCTTTGCTGAGCACCCCCGACTGACATCTTTTTTGTCTTATACGGACACTAACCTCGAGGCCCCGCTTGTGGTACTCCTCAACCAACTTCCGGGTCATATACTCCGCGTCATCGTGATCTTGACGTATGACTACCTGGTCTTCAGCAAAACATAGCGTGAACAGTGTTTCTTGGTCATTCAGAGGGACGCCCATTCCGGCACACTTTCTTTTACATTCCTTCAGAACGTGCTCTAGATATATCTTAAATAGCGTCGGTGACAGACAACGTCCCTGCTTAAGCCCCTTGGTGACAAAAAAAACCGTCTGAAAGCCTTCCTTGGCACTTGAATCTGGCAAAAGCCCCCTATAAAACTGCTTGACTGCTCCAATAAGTCCTTTACTAAAACCAGTTTCTTCTAGGACTTTCCAAAGTTTCTCAAGAGGAATACTATCATAAGCCTTTTCGATATCCAAAAACACTAAATGGAGCTCCTGACCGACAATCCTCTTCTTTTCGGTTAACTGGGTAACACAGAACAGATGATCAGCGGTAGACCGACCAGTCCTAAAACCTGCTTGCTCCTCCGCCTCGAACGGGGTCCACTCCTCTTCGATCTTTGTTTTCAACAATTTTCCATAAATGTTACTTTATGTTACTTAATGTTTACTACAGGAACTTTTTTATGCGACGCTGTTATCCAGGCCTCTTTCCATTCTTCCGAGATGTTATCACCATCAATGCACTCCTGCAGCAAATCCCTGATGGTTAACCAACTTGCCAGTCCCACATTTAATTAACTCGGCTGGAATGTTCCCTGCCCCAGGAGCTCTTCCATTCATCAATGCCCTAATTGCTTTGACCACCTCCTTAACTTGAATTTCTATTGAGTGATCCTCGACTATATTTTCAGCATTCCCCGTTTGAAACTCTGGTCGTCCTTCCGTCAATAATTTATTAAAATGTTCGTCAAGCTGCGAGATTGTTATCAGAGATAAAATGTTCCGTTTCATGTCCCTTCTTAGGCCTTTGATCAGCTTCCAGCTCTCAGCACTCTTCCTTCTCCCCAGGTATGTGTCAATCCTTGAGCAGTTGTTCTCCCAAGACTCGTTTTTCTTCCTGGCTATTAAAAGACGAACCCTCGCTTGGGTTTTCCTATACGCGCCGCGGGTGTCTGCAGTCCTGGAAGCCAGGTAGTCATGGTATACTTCCTACGCTTTTCTTCAATTACCTCCTCTCCCTCTTTGTCCCACTAGTAGGGTTTCTGTACAGCCTTGCTCTCATTATACATACCCAGGGCTTCCTTCGCAGCTGAATGTATACAACTTTTGATGAACTGGTACAACTCTTCTGCAGTATCGAAAGTTTCTACTCCAGCTCTTCTGCAGTATCGAAAGTTTCTACTCCCAGTTTCTCATCCAGCCGCTTCCTGTAGAGCGCTTTCACGCTTTCATGCTGTAAGCTATCAATGTTGTAGTGCACTTGTTCGATCTTTGTTCCTTGTGGCTGGCACTTCTGATGTTGCAAAGTATTCCTCTGCAGCTCATACTTAACCGGAAATGCAATCTCCGCCTTGAGAAAATGGTGATCACTACCACAGGAGAACCCCGGCAAACTCTCACTTGTTGAACCTTCATGGCACTCGTTTGTCTGGTGACCGCGGAGTCGATGATTGACTTCAGCTCCCGAGTTTGCTGAAGCCAAGTATACTTATGGATATCTCGATGTTGGTAGAATCCGTGCAGTATTTTCAACTCGTTCTGTTCACACATATCAATGATGCGTGCACCGTTGTCATTCACCCCCTCTTCACCAAAAGATCCAACGACTTGAGAACCATTCTTTCGTCCGGTTCTACCATTCAAATCTCCCATGATAATGACCTCTCTTGTCCTTCCCACCTTCAGAACCTCGTCTTTGAGTTGCTCAAAGAACTGATCCTTTAGATTGGCGGGAGCATCACCATTCACACCATATACTCCTAACGAGGCCACCTTGTGACCATGCAGTGTAAGATGCATTCTGATGATCCGCTGGTCTACTGCTTCCCTAGTAGTTATGGACGGACGCAAATTTTTCCGAATAAGTATGGCGACTCCTTGCTGTGCGCGTTGATCTTTGCTGACACCACTATTGAACAGATCATAGCAGCCTAAGTTTTCTGATCCTGTGCCTTTCTTTTTCGTTTCTGTTAACACGGCGACATCTACATTATACTTTTTTACCTCCGATACAACCTCTTGTCATTTTATTAGAAATGCCCTGTACATTCCATGTTCCAAAAACCATAGTCCTTTTCCGTAGTTTGTGTCGCAAAATCCGTTTTTTCCCATTATCACCGAGGCTATCTTTTTTAGGTTTTTTAACATTACGTTTTTTCCGGGTATCGGGGAGTTAGCCCGATGCCCCAACCCCCAACCTGGAGGACCCGGGTTTGATCTTGGAGTACCGTCTCCTAGACAGGCTGCTTTCACCACAGCTTGCTGTCACAGCTGCTTGACCTTCAATCCCTTCATTATTAACCAATTAGCGAAAAGCCCGCGACTGAAGTCACGGGACTAAATGCTCCGCAATTGCATCTGTTGATCATTCCATCCCCTCTGTACTATGGAAGGGACTTTTGGAACACCCTGTACAGAGGGGATAGAATGATCAACGTATACAAGTGCGGAGCATCTAGTCCCGTGACTTCAGTCGCGGGCTTTTCGCCAGTTAGTTAATAATGAGGGGCTTGAAGAACAAGGCGCATATAAGCCGTTTTTTAACATATTGAGGTGTTATTGATTTCAAGTAATACTAGTCTTAATGCATATTCCGTTAAAAGCTCCCAAATTCCAATTTTTAAGCATCAAAATTCAGTTTAAACTTTTTCGTGCCTTAAGGACCTATTTAATTTTGAAAATTCTAACACATATTACTCAGAATAGCAAAAACTGCACCTAGACGCCTTCTTTAAGCCTCTCAATTATCAAATTTTGTGCGTTACGCAAATTTCTGGGATCCACTCCACAGGAGTGCTCCAATTACTCCAATTTTTAGCCCTGATTTGATTTTTTAATTGGATACAAAATTGTAGGTGTTTAAGCATAGCTTCTAATAGTGAGAGTTATGTCCTAGGACCGAAGTTGGGATTTCTGGGCCTAGAAGCTCAGTCCAGAAATGGGTCCCCTTTAAATTTCCACTCGATGACTTCAGTGTTAGTTTTTTGATGATAAATGATGAGGCCACGTATAACTTTTTTATTCAAGACATGAGAGCATGGTAGGTATATATATTTTCTTTTTATCATGCCGATTTTAGTATTTTTTTATTGTCTTTGCCATTGCCCCTAATGTGTTCTTCTGTTTGAATTTAAGGTTTGCTTTGTTTGTTTTCAATTAATCTGAGTACCTACTTGCTTTTTTTCAGCCTGAGGAAAAATTGTATTTCCTTGTCCGGAGAGATGTGCATACAACCAACACATAAGGTATCTTGTTCTAAGCGAATTTGTGCACTATTTTCCTCACCTTTGTTTCTAATTGTGGGATCTGTTGGAGAAATATATGGGTGGCACTGGAATGATTTGAAACTGCCCCAAACAGAAACTCCAAGTGTAGCTTGGACAATACAAATACCAATCTCCGGGTAATTTTACTGTGCCATCAATTTAAATCAACACTAACAGAAATATTTCCTCTTTAAACTAAAAAGGTTGAAAAACTATGTCTGATGTATCTTGCATGATGCCGCAATCAGACGCTGAATTTAGCACCTGAATGTGGAAGTCAACAGTCATCGCCCAACGGCTGAAATTTAGCAAATTCGAGTTATTTTCATCCAGATGTGTATCAAATCTACTCGAATAGTTCAGAAAAATTCAAAATTGGTCCGATGGTTGCTGAGAATGGTTGCTGAATTTTGCGCGTCACGCGCAAAATTCAGGCATCGGGCCGATGACTTCCACATTCAAGCCACATTCAGCTCCCACATTCAGCGTGTGATTGCGGTGTGAGTTCTTACGGAATCATAGAGAAAACACAGAAGGTGGTGGCAAGCAGAGAAATGTACTTTTCTACGTCACAGCTAAAAATGAAACCGTCCTTCTAATTGATCAATGGTATCGCAGGAAAACTCAGACCTGTTAGAAATTTAACTAGGAACGGGAAAGGTTGTGAGGTTCCCACTTATTTTGGCTCTACAAACTCGTAACTATTAACTTTTTATGTTTCATTATGTTTTTCTATCAATGTTCAACTGTAACTGACAATAATTTGTAAGTTAAAAATATATATTTCGTAAGGCCTCGATAGACGATCAAATTCCCGAACCAATTCCGATGAAAGTGTCGGGAGTCATCAGTCTTAAACTCATTAATTTGCTTCATTTTAAAATGAAAACTTGGCAGAAATGTTTCCTGTGGCAGGAAATGATGAACGGTGGCACTCCGTTCTGATCTTACTTTGAACAAAAAAGTGCGGCCCGTCATTTGATGGTAGATGTTGACCACCAGTCATCAGCATGTCCACTTTGATCGGAATTGGTTCGGAATTTGATCGTTTATACAGGGCTGTATAATAACACCTTTTATCTCAACCTGTCCCGTTTGGAAGGTAAAACCCTGTTAAATTACGTTCTGTACGTCAAAAAAGCAGAAATTAGAGAGTCATGGTAACTAATCTTCAATTTTATGACTTTCAATGTTATATTTAGTGGTGATGCAGGTCTTTATACGGGTTCCATCCTGAAATGTACTTTTTTTGAACAGCACACCAGTCCGTGTACTTTTCTACGTCACAGCCAATCTTCAAGATGGCTGCCTTGCCACCACCTTCTGTATTTTCTCCATGATAGAGAATTCAGTGACATCTAAATGCAAGACTCTTTATGGAATTATTTCGGGGTAGAAAGTCAAAACTTAGGTTTTTTTTTTTTTTTTTTTTTCTTTTTGATAGAAGTGCAGAGAAAAGTATCTTTTTTGGGCCATCAAAATCGAATGGTGCTTGCTGTTTTTGGAAGCTTGTGGAAGAAAAAAAGAACTGGAAAACCGGGGAGCTGTATAAAACCTAAACTTTCTGACTACCCGCGCATTACATTAATTATTAAACCCTTACCTTTTCTCTTTACCCATTCTCTTTTCATGTTCGCCTCAAATCAAATGTTTTGTAGTTTCTTGACATAGAGTACAATAGAGTCGCAAAGTACTGGATCGCCGATGAAGTCACTTTTGGAGGCTGTTTTCTCCAGTTCTCCGGAGACTAGTGTGCGGCGACAAGCGATGACGCATACGCAGAGACTCGCGCTCGGCGCTCCCCACTCCCGACTCGGCTCCGTTCGTCCGCTAGGTCCACACACATTGAATCAGCTAAGTAGGCCGGTAATAAGTCTGAAATTGAGTCCATACATGAATATTATCCAGGAGTAACATACATTAATGGATTCATTATGGCTTCGAATATCTAATTATAGCATTTGCAAAAAATAATATAGATGGAATTAATAAAAGTCGAAAAAACACAAGCAGTTGTTGATTTCTCCATAAGCCACCGTGTTAGAAATGCCGGTTGGTTCACACTTTGTATAAGTCAGAAATTGAATCCCTGTATGAATAAAATCCAGGAATAACATACATCAATGGATTCATTATGGCTTTGACCATCTATTCATAGCAAAATTTGCACAAACTAATATCGATTGAATTAAAAAATGTCGAAAAAACACAAGCAGTCGTTGCTTTTCCCGTAAGCCGCCGTGATAAGAAATGCCGGCCGGTCGGTTCACACTTGGTCTCAGTCTTAATTTTCGTTCCTTTTTGAATATTATTCAGGAGTATGATACATTAATGGATTCACCATGGCTTTGACTACCTGTTTTTAGCAAAATTTGTAAAAATTAATGCTGATTCATTAAAAAATTTCGAAAAAACACAAGCAGTCCTTGATTTCTCCATAAGCCACCTTGATAATAAGTGCCGTTGGGTTCACACTTGGTTCACACTTTTCGGAGCACAAGCGGCTCGGAAAGGCCCGTTAATGGATTGACTTCATCGACGCTCCAGTACATCGCGACTCTATTGTGCTCTATGTTTCTTGACTTACAGTATGTGGTCTTGAATTCATGCAAGAGTTAAAAGTTCACCTTTTACTCAGGATCACAGCCTTTTGACCCCTCCATCTTTACAGACACGATCTCATGCAGTTCAAGGTTCCTCTGGCCCAAAACAAGTGGGCAAGGTCACTTAACTGAGGTGTGTCTAATAGTTCTTCAAAGAACTAGTTTAAAAATAAACTAGAGGCTACAGTGACATAATCCAGTTCTGCTATCTTGTTCAATGTCTCTTCTCAGTGTTCGTATCTGTTTTTTGTATGTGAACACTCAAGTACATACGCTGTTACGCTTTATGTACTTACTGGTATTATTGCATACTTCCTACTGTCAGGACTTTCTCTTAAGCGCACTAATTTACCAAAGAAATTCCCCTAGTTGCGTGAATAATGTGGTGCGTGGTTACTGATTTAATATCTCCTTGCGGTGAAGCGAAGTTTCTGAGATCCGTCCTTAGTGGGCAAGGGTCGAGAGGGAATTGAAATTAATTTGATCGCCCTCCGAGTTCGCGAACGACCAAGCGTCGCTTTTCGATCGTGATACTCGATCAAGAGGCCTGAGCAGGTAAAAGAATTTCGGATCCCGAATCCCGAACTCAGAGGCGAATGGGACGATTATTTTTTTCGTTCAAAGAACGGAAGGCAATAGCGCGGGCCAACTGGCTAGTTCCCGAGATGGGATATAATTTCTGGCCGCATTGCCATCCTCTCGTAAGATAGGAGGGAATTAAAACCCGATCTCGATTGCCCTCCTCGAAAGATGCACACGGGGCTTCCGATCGAATTGATCTGGATCGGCTGCGCTTTTGCCCGCAAAGGCACTGGACTTTACCCCCGGATTTTTTCCTCTACTGCTAGTCCGCACACGCTGGACCGCGACAGCCGGTCACTCCTTCCTTTCACTTTGGCATCGTGATCATACGTTCTCCTCTTTTACTTTCGTCCTCTACCATGGCTATTTTTCGCCTGTCATGTTTCGTGCGTAAACTGTGGGCTTGTCGCTTTCTGACTTCTGCACGTCTAAACATCTATTTCTCGTAGCTGATCGGTACATGTTATGTCCATATTTCTTCTACTTTTGTCAGGGTACTTTAGAGTAGGCTTTCTGCGAATTCCAGTAATAGTGGGTTTTGCATTTAGACGATCACTCTTGCCAGATAAAATTACTGCTCTAGCAGCGTCAAAGGATGGATATCGATAAAGGCCTTTTTGGACCCCTCTAGAATCTGGAAATTTATGTGAATTTTCTAAATTGACTCAATTTAGTTTACGGATATAACATGATTTGGTCCATAGGCCACTAGATACGTGTTAAACGGTTGCCTGAACAAACGTCTGCAGGTGCATTTTAGCTAAGAATGCGTGCTTTTCTATCTCTCCGAGGCTTTTTTCTCACCGAGCACATCGTCTAACTAAAACGAGCTTTCGATATGTTATTAAGGAAGCCTTAGGACACATTTTAACCCTGGTTTGCTTTTAGTTAGATGATGTGCTTATAGTCAAAAAACAACTTTTTCAAAAGTTGACTTTGAAGGGGCATCCGCAAATATCTTACGGAAACATGTCTCTCCAACTGTGTGCACGCTACGTAGATCATCGAAGGCAGTTTTCAAGCCTTCTTAGACTTTTACAAGGAGATTTTTTTCAATTGTGGCTATAAAAAACCCTAACGACGTGTTTCCCTAAGATTTATGCGGATGTCCCTTAAAAGTCAAGGTATGAAAAACTTTTTTTTAACCATAAGCACATCATCTAACTAAAACCAAACCAGGGTTAAAATGTGTCCCAAAGCTTCTTAAATAACACATTGAAAACTTGCTTTAGTTAGACGATGTGCTCGGTGTCAAAAAAGCTTCCGAGCGATAGGGAAACACGCAGTTTTCGCTAAAATGCGCCTGCAGACGTATGTTTCGGCAACCGTTGAACACGTATCCAGTGGCCTATGGACCAAATCATGTTATTTCTGCAAACTAAATTGAGTCATCTTAGAAAATACGCATCGATTTCCAGATTCGGGGGGGGGGGAGGAGGCCCTTATCGATACCTCTCCTTCATACTTTGATCTCTGATTCATCAATAAATGACACTCATGGTGTCATCTATCATTAATCAGTTTAAAGCTATTTTGACAATGAATCATTTTTATCAAAATACATAGGCGATGTAATAGTATTTTCAATGAATTATGATAAAATGTTTTCCATTTGAGAATTTTGTCATCTCTAAATGCAGACAATCAATTGCACGGGAAAATATATTGATCGCAAAGTAAAGATGAGCCGCTCTAGAACGAGATACATTAATTGCATTCGCAAACATAGGTATTGTTCGTAGTAAAGTATCAAATATTCATACAGTTGTCTATGTATTAATTTCAGGGATGTGCTCCACAGAGCTGATGTTAACTCAGTGATGCTACTGAAAGAAGATGCAACTGAGAATGGGAATTTTTCTACCCTATTAGCCGGTTGTGGTGACAACAAATTGTATATGTTCAATCTTGAAGATGGAAAACTTGTCCGAACGTTTGAAGGACACCTGAGTTATATTCATGGTATCAGTATATTGTAAGTTCATCAATTTCAGTGTGACTTCATATTATCTGAAGTCTTTTAATACTTGATCACTGGAAATGAGAATTTAAGGAGAACATTTTGAATCTTTATGATATCCAGTGAATTTACTTCAACTTCAGCTGTCTTTTTATGCATCCGAGCATCATTTTTATGATTGATTCGCTACCCTTTTTTTAAAGTAATCAAAGAGGTCTCATCATAAATAATGTCAAACTTGGCAATAATGCAAAACTTGTTTTTTTTTTTTTTTTTTTTTTTTTTTGATCTCACTCTTCATTAATTTACTTCACAGCTTGAAAATAGTTCAACTGTCGTAAAACTAGACTAATTCTTGATAAAAAATGATGTCTCTGCGAGAGGATCAAAGGGCGACGGTCCAACCTTAAAGGGAAAATCGGGCCCGGTTAAATCGACTGATTTCTTGATATGCTGTTGGTCTTAACCTACTGATCAAAAGTGTCAATGGGCGTTACTTCCTATCTCAAAGTTTTACACCCCCCATTTTAGGATCAAAGCTTACAATTCAGCGTATGATTGGTAGTTATGACACCCGGGTTCATTCATTGCATTTGAGATTCTCTACTGTTTTGTTGAGTCTATTCTATCCTCTGAATAGGCTAGAGACTATGCGTATTAAAAAACTGAGCCATGTTGACATATTCGGGAAGGGAGGGAGGGGGAGGTTGTTGACGCCACCAATTTCAGCATCAGCGAGTTGCGTTAAACCGATTCCTTTGCCATGTTTTGGAGATCTTTTTATGCGAATGATTCCGACTGCATCTTGAAAGGTCGACCGGGACTGATATGCATCTCAGAATATACCCCCCAGAATACATCCCTTGGGGGGGGGGGGGGGGGCGTGACCAACCTCAAGCAGTGAAACTGGCTTGCATGAATCGCATCAAACCGATGCTTACGCCATGTTTTTGAAGACTTTTTTATGGCGATGAGGCTGACTGCGTTTTGAAAGGTCGACCGAGATGCTTCCTACTGACAGTCTTTTCAAATCCTGGAAGCTCTCACCGGATTAAGTGAGTCGAGCTTGCTGTGATTTTCTTTTACTCCGAAAAATTAAGGGGAAAGGAACTAACCCCTCCCCTTGCCAAACTTCTGAAAAGAACGAGTAAATGCTGAAATCGAAGGTGTTAAATGGCATAGAGTTTTAATCGTACTAGTCTCGGTAAAAAATGCCACTATACTAATGTGAGTGCCACACCGACCTATGCTGAAAGATACTATATTGCGACAGAGCGAGCGGAGTGAAAGGCCTCCTTTCCCTTGCAACATATTCTGCTGCATCCCAGTGGACTTTCCGAGATGCAGTCAGCCTTATCGCCATAAAAAAGTCTCCAAAATCATGGCCTAAGCATCGGTTTGATGCGATTCATGCAAGCCAGTCTCACTGCTGGAGGTCGGTCGCGCGCTCCCCCCCACTCCCAGGGGATATATTCTGAGATGCGTATCGGTCTCTTCGGAGATGAGTCTCTTTCGGCGTATCGGACCTTCCAAGATGCAGTCGGAATCATTCACATAAAAAAATCTCCACAATATGGCGAAGGAATTGGTTTAACGCGACTCGCTGATGCTGAAATTGATGGCGTCAACAACCTCCCCTCCCTCCCTTCCCGAATATATCAATATGGTTCAGTTTTTTAATCTGCATGGTCTCTAGTCTATTCAGAGGATAGAATAGACTCAACAAAAAAGTAGAGAATCTCATATGCAACGAATGAACCCAGGTGTCATAACTACCAATCATACGTTGAATTGTGAACTTTGATCCCAAAAATGGGGGGTAAAACTTTGAGATAAGAAGTAACGCCCATTGACATTTTAGATCAGTAGGTTAAGACCCACAATATATCAACAAATCAGTCGATTTAACCGGGCCCAATTTTCCCATAAGGTTGAACCGTCGTCCTTTATAAAACGTACGTCGAACTTAATTGAGTTTTCTGTAACCTCCCAAGTTGAAGAGGAACTTGTCCTCTTTAACTGCAAGTCTCCAGCAGCTCTGGAAGTTGTCTCATTTTCAACTGCACACAACTGCCTCCGTCCTCTAATGGGTAGGGCCCTAGGGTGGACCGTTTTGTAACTTTTTTCGAAATTCCAAGATGGCTAGTGCTAAAAAGTTGTGTTTTGGCTTGAAAATAACGCTCAGTTTTTTTCAGAATTTTTGAATGATGTCCTGAGCCCGTACCGACGCCATCTTTGTTGCCAAATTTTCGATTTTTTCGAGAAATTGCCAGGACTCTGTTTTAGGCCCGGCAAACGCGTAGAATTAATCAAAATGCAATTTAAAATACTTTTAATATCATTTCAAGGGATACAAGTCAGGATAGGACACCCCTAACGCGCAGAGAATGCCTTAGGGGACTCAATCTTGGACCGCCGAAATCACTTAAAAATGTGCCTAAATGATACGGGTGATTTCACGATAATAGGAATAGTCGTGTCGCCGTGGGTTATGAACGACATAGGGCAAAACGGTTGAAAACCAAATTAATTAATTAATAGGAATGATGTCCCTGAACCTATCCATGCTAAAAAATACGATGAATTATTATTATATTTAATAATATGAGACTTTAAAGGCCGAAAATGTCCGGTCGGTTACGCGTCGCCAACCCCGATTTTGAAGCAAAAGAGCAATTTGCGGTAGCAAATCAGTACTGATCATGAACTCTTTGGCAATATTTGCTGAAAAGAGACTCTAGTGTTCAAGAAAATTGCCAGTTTGAACTATAATGTTTATTATTGAGCGAGAAAAGTCATAAGAAAGAGGTGTTGCCACATTTGGCAACAAATTTTTACAGTTGTATTAAGTACAGTGTTTATCTCGCCAGATGGAGTCAGGAGTTTCAAAACTGCCATCAAATTGTTCGCTGGAGTCTTCTTGACAAAACCATTACTGATAAGTCAGTTTTTTTTACAATGAAAACTTTAATTATAATGAAAACCAGTGATTTTTACGTGTGTAGCACTAATTCCTCACTACGCAAAAACCTCAATTTAATAGTAATAAACTAAAAGGAAGTCTCCAAAGTTTAGAAAACTTTTGAGGCAGCATTAATTCCACCTCATAACTCAAGAATTGCCAAGTTTCATCTTTTGTATCATCTTTAATCTCACATTTTTGAGTGTCGGTTACGCTGTGTCTGTTACGTAACCGACACAATTTGGCAGTGCCGCCATGTTTGCGTGGACCTCCAGCAGTCCCGCGGGAAGCGCTGATACCTGATTCAATGGCTTGTTTATCAATCACTTTAACTTTGCTCTGAATCAAAATAGAGCGTGCCAAAGCTGGAAAAAGGAAGTTTAATACCTTTAAAATGAGGTAGTGAAATCCTGTTAAAATTGGTGCACTTTTATTTCTAAGGTTTTCACATTTTAACTATTCCTGTTATTGTGAAATCACCCATACCTGTATTTTTTGTTATTCTGCATTGGTTTTAATTTGCTCATACTTTGTGTTATGACTAACGAGACTTATCAGTAGACTCTCCCCCACTATGTTCCGGCTTACGATGATAAAATAATATACAATAGATGCTTTTAGCACCTTAGAACTATTTTTGACAATATACAATGTCACCAAATTTACTCGAGCCTGGAGGAAAATTAGTGTATTTTTTTGCTGTACTTAAGTGATAATGGCAACAGTGTAAATTGTCAAAAATAGTTCTTAAGGACTAAGCCAACTACTGCCGTGCTAAGAAAGAACGCCGTATGAACCAAATTTTTTTTTTTTTTTTTTTTTTAGTCAGACATGAAATTAGACTAAGTGAAGCATGCTCTGTTCAATAGTGAAGTCAGCAAAGGCGTTTCTTCATTGGTTTCAGAGATATAGAGGGGGTACCTGCCGTATATCCCGCATAGAGGCAAGGTTACAACGATAGATTGCCGTATGTCTAGGAAACTCAGGATGCGGGTGGCACTCACGGCGTTTTTTCCCATGCTTTGCGGACATGCGGCACTCGCCCCGTGCAGCCCTCGCCAATGCCCAGACTCACGGCGATGTTGGGCCGTTGATTACCCCTCCCACCAACCCTTTTATCCGATTTCAGGGTTCCAGTTATGCATGCTCTGAGTAATTGTGATCACGTATGCTGTTTGTCATCTGCTGGTAGCATGTGATTCGTTTCCGGATAGATACGCATTCTCCTTACGTTATAATTTTCTTTCAAAATGTTTCCGGGTGCAAGTTCTACCTTATTCTTTTAAGAATTAGAAACTAAGATTTTGCCGTGAAATTTTTACAGTATATTAGTTTGAAGACGATTAATAGTACCTTGAACAATTATTTTTTATTTTTTTTTCTTTTATGGTCAATTCCTCAATTTTGTTTTCCTTCTTTATTTATGTTCAAGCAAAATGAGAAAGGGAGAATTCAAATGTCGATACAAACGAGCTACGTTGTTTTAGTTAAGTTCTGAATTTTTTTAGTTGGGTTGGTTCCTCTGCTTATCTTACTCGATCCTAAAAAGGGCATCATATTGTCCGCTAAAGCGTAAATTCTCGGCATTTTTAAACCTTCAGTTTTATTCGACGATCTTTCTCTACATTGTCAGCGGAAAATTGTATAAATGCTTTTTTAAACAAGTTCTTAGGTTAAATTTTCCTTTTATATTTTTGAAGTTTAAATTTCATACGTAAGTAAATCAAGTAATTTGAAAAGCTAGCCTCGTAATGAAAAAAATAATTTCGTGAATGTGGAATAGTCTCCTCAAGATAGAAAGTGAAAAAATGGGAGAGATACAAAGGTTGCAAAGAGAAAGGAAGGATTTTATTTTTTACTAAAATCAGGAAACTACCAACCACTAACATTATTTTTGTTCGCGCAGAACTCTTTGTCTTCATTTCAGGCCAACTTTCAATTTAACATGCCCCTCATTCCAATAAGAAACATACAAATAAAACCGAAAAATATGAAGCTTCCGATTCAGTTGCAGTTACTTTCGTATTGTCTTTCCTTTTTAATTTTTATTTCAATTTTTTTCAATTTTTAAAATAGCTCTACACCTTAAAAACACGGACGGTTAATGATCTTGGTTGTAGGTAAAATGATTCTTGCAAAAATAAAGCTCACAGAAACGAAATTGGTGAAATCCCTACACCGCAGCCGGCAGCGTTGGAAATGCGTCTTGGGCACTAGGATGGACACACGGCAAAATCGGCACAGTAAGGGCACTAGAAGCCAAAACCTTAAATTATTTATACGAGGAAAAGCCATGTCAGGAGCACCAATTATCAAATTTATTAGTCATTATCCTCTTGCAAATGATGTAAGTGCTAATGAACAGCCAAGGGATCAAGCTGTCAATAGGAGAAAAGGAGGACTTAAAATTCGCAAACCTCGCAGAGAGGCATGCCGTAGACTTTGAACGTAAATATCTCAGTTTGAATCTGATGGTTCATACGGCGTTTTTCCTTAGCACGGCAGTATAGGGCGCTTCGCGCTCTCAGGCCCGCTTCGCGGGCCTTATACGCATATGTATAGGCAAAAACGTTCTTCCATTTTCATACGCCATTTTGTGTTTGAGCTGCATCGATTTCAAAATTTTTAACGTAACGCTCAGATTTGTATATGATGAGGAATAGCTGGATGTACATAATTTGGTATTAATAGACGCATTATATTGACGGCTAAACTCGGAAAACATGTATCTCAATTTGCGACTTCGTATACTTCTCCTTATATTTTTTTTTAAGTGGAATACTAATCAACGTACTAAATGTTTTGAAAACGACTGTGATTTCGCTTTTGCTCAAAGAATATTCTGTGAAAATTTAAAGTGATAAAATTGGTTCCTTTTCCTTCGAACTATTAAATTAGATGCGGAAATCTTAAAACACCATGAGCGAGGTACTTGATTTTCGACTTCAGCCATCGGTATGCAAAAAAGCTCTTATGCCATGCAATATATGGCTAAGATTTTGGAATCTGGCACATATTTTTCAGCGAATCCAGTCCTCATGCATTTCAATATTTTGACAGAAAATGTGCACTGAACTTTCCAAAAATGTATTTTTTGACATTTTTTCACATCCGTACCTTGAAATTAACCTTTCTTTTCTTCTTTTCCTTTAAGAAGGGAAAAGGGTTTCAATTGGGCTGCGTTTAATAGAAACGCACAAAGTCGCATGTAGATGGACTCGAGAAAAGGGAAAAGTGAAGAGTTAGTTGAGCTGAAAACTACTCCTAACTCAATTTTTTGGAAAATGTGACTTGGTGCGTTTTTGTATATGCAGTCCACTTACTGGAGTTTTCATTTATTACCAGCCGTTCTTTCTCTTATTTTTCTCGGTGATTGGACATTTGATCACTAAGATGTATACATTTTGGAGACTCCGGAGGCAAAAATGATTTCGTCACAGAACCTTGTTGCCAGAGCGTGCCATCATTTGCACATGAATAGATGTGTGGAGATGAAGCGATGATGGGAATCAATCATTTCTTCAAAAACGCATTTGACTGGAACGCCATCCCATCGGGTGGCGGAAAAAGACAATCCATGGCTCTCCTTTCGCGATTTGACTTGCTGAAGTAGCAAAAGTTCATCTTTACCTCTTAAGAAGATTATCGGTGGCGTAGGGGTCTAAAAATTGCTCAACGATAGTATATTTCGAGTTCCGAATCGCAATGAGCCCACTTGTGTTTTTTTTCTCATATTTTCATCGCATACAAATTTCTCCGATGTTTTTGTTTTATTCTCTCTGATTGCATATTGGTAATCATTTCCTTTCCCTTTCCTTTTTCCTTTTCTGTAACACCTTTGTCCATTTACAATTATTATTTTAAAATAGCTTTCCCCTAGTATACAATTGATGCTTCAAACGGAATCAATTGTTTTAATGACATTTCCGGCTAAATTATGGGTTTTCCCAGGAAGGCAGTCTCTCGTCCCTCCCGGACTCTGTTGTTGCCAGATAAGTTGCTTTTTAAGCACTTTTCCCAATTCAAATCCATGTGGAATATTCACATTTATGGCACAATCTAGCAGCCTCTCGAGTGAAATAGAAAAAGGTAGAATCGCTGAAAGTCTGAATCCTTCGAAGTTTATATTAATAATGATGATGATGATGTTATTTTTAAATGTTTCATGAATAATAAGAAAAAAAAGGATTACGATCGTTGAGAGTTAATAATATTTGGTCCAGCGCGACGCAGCGCAGGCGCTGCGTCGCACTGCCTTATCACTTTGTATCTGCTGTTTATCTGATTTTAATGTTAATAGATATTCGGCAATCAAGTATTGACTAATGCCACAATCGAAGCCGCAAGATGCAAGAATGGGGAAAATCTGAGTAAAAACCTCATACTTTGGACCTTAACCATGGGGTATCCCCATTTCAGGGTTCGCCGTTCCTCAACTCTCGAAATGAGGAGCCCGACACGAGGGGTAGCATTGTTCCATTGTTTATTCGAGTCACTCAGGTAGAATCCCACACCTCGCCGTTTCTAGCGGGAACGACATATCTCTCGCGCTATTAACATTGGACATAAGTTCCATGAGCTCTGAAACATTAGAAGTTCGGGGTTTCATACTTACTTGCACATCCACAGCTATTACAGATGACGTACATGTAAGGATCATCCTTATCGGTCCGGTAGTTCGTCAGAAATAGTGCTTCCAAGATTTTACTTGTAGCTGTATAATATAGATGAGAGAGATTTTGCTAGAGGCAGATGAGTTTTTTTACCACTAGACCATTTTTTCCTTTTTATGTTTAGAGGCTCTTCAGTTGCGTCAGCAAGTGAAGATGGTTCAGTGCGACTCTGGGATATTCGGCAATCTTCAGTAACGGCTTGTGTAGAACCATTCCGAAACGATTCGATAGCACGGCCCAGCATTGGAAAATGGATTGGGGACGTTGACTTAAGTGAACAATGGATGGTGAGTAAGAAAGCGTTAAAATAAGGATCCTTTTTAAATCCATAAATCAACCTCACATGATTGTCTTTAATTTGGTAATAGTGAGGGCCTTCTGAGCAGAGTTCTACTCTCTCACCCCGTATTCCATACGATTTTTCGCATTAGTACACGGCAGAGAGTACGGACGGAAGGTCAGAGGCCCGACTTTATTCCAAGAACCTGAAATAGAGGCGCTCGCTGGCAACGTACGCAACTACGATTCTCTATTATTTTCCAGTGACTGGCGGTGGTTATGTTACTGCCGAACCTCCTCCTCGTAATCAATTATTCATACATTGTCCGTCCGCAACTCTCGCTTGGCCTATGAGCGCAGTAGTATGGGAATCCCGCCCGCCGCGCACTCTCGCGCCAGCGCACGCAACTTCTTGTTCACGGCTTAACTTCTGTTTCAATTCTTCCCTATCCGGTCGGGCCTCTAACTTTCCATACTCTCTGGTCGCTCTTCGATCGCGAACCGGGCGATGATCGATTTGAGATACAGGTATAAATACTCTTTTCTTTTGTCTCCGGTTTCTGCCTCAACGAATTCGGCGCGGTCATCGTAGCTATGCCACTGACTAAGAGGATAAAGAAGGACCCCCGATTCCAGTCAGCGGCGACACTAGCGGTGCCTGGCAGAGGATCTAGTGAACTAAACCGACGATTGGGTTCTCCAGTTCCATGTTTCTCCGCCCCAAGCTTCAAAGCTGCATTTGCACCTGCACTACAATAAATATCGAATAAACAAATCAGCATTTATTCCTAACGTCACGTCAAGACTGAAACAAAACTGACCGAACGAAGCTTTCCGTCACTTTTGGATAGTCTGTAGCAATTATTCGATTCACTTCCCCTACCCTACTAATAGACCAAGATTTAAAATTTCCCGTTTAGAGTATCCCCGGTTAGTTCAACTTTCCGCTAAATTTGAAATTCGCGTTATTTTTCATTGGCGGGAATTTCAAATTTTGCCCCTCTTTGTAAGCTCTCTGGTCGACTCTGATGTAAAAAAAATCCTGGGTCTTATTTCCAAAATCCAATTACAGCGGGCGCATCTAGGGACTATCTTCTGTCAATAGCCGAAGAAGTCATAGAATCGGCCCAGTGAAAGGCTCAAACGAACTGTGACAAAAAATAAAAATTTACATTGTTTAAATGGGAGAATTTGCAACTTGACCACGTCATACAAAAACCTCAAAAACCACAAAACCAAAAATCAAACCATACAGAAACCTTTGTTATATTTTCAAAATCTAAACAAAGCGAACTCATCTAGACACAATTGCCTGTCAATAGCCAAAACAGTCATGAAAATCGGTTTGGTAGAGCACCGGAAATTAGCCTTATCAGAAATTAAAATTAAGGAAGCTTGAAAGGCTATAGTACCCTACATACCCTAGCAAGCACTGCAACAACAAAACTTTTGTTCCACTGATTCAAGTTTCCTAGGCGTTTATTATGTATTTTCAACACTAAACTCAAAAATGACAATCGCCTGCCATGCTGTTAGGTTTCTTTTTAAGCTTTTAGCGGCTCTGGTGCTTGCACTAGAGCTGCTATTCCGGACGGTCCCAGCTGGGGAGTATCATTGGACCATGTTACATTGGAGAGACCGCGCGTTGGTTAATGGGAATCGGCGCCATTTTCGGCTATGTTCCTTGTCATGACTTTATTTTATTGCATATTGTTTTATTGTTAGCCAATGCTATGTTGTGTAGTGTATTTTTGGAATCATGGTGATACAGTCAATAATTCAAAACTTGTCTGTGCTTTAATCTTGTGATGGAAAAAATGTACTTTACGTTCAAAATTTGAAAATTTGAATTTTAAAGTTTTCGCGGTTAAGGAAGCTCCAACCACTGGGTTGGAGCTTCCTAGTCATATTACTCGATATCAGCTGATAGCAAACAAAGGTTACCAAGGAAACCGTAAACGTCTAATGCCGTCTGCCCACGTAGCAAATGGGAGGCGAAAATGGAAGTCATCAGTGCATCGTTGAGTGTTGACGCCCGATCCCATTTTCAGACATGTTCACACGTTTTGCTTGCAAAGAAAAAAGGCGGCAAATCAATTTTTATTATTGGACCAATGAGTGTTCTCCAATTTGAGTTTGTAAACATCGTGGTTTCTAGGTTAGGTTTTTGGCTGTGTGATAAATGATATTATGCCGTCTTTGATTTTGTTAAAATGACTCGATATATGTTATTTGATAAACGATTGGAGTTTTGATAAAGTAAGTTGATTTGAATTAAAAATTGTGTCCTTAAAAAATGGATGATGAGGTGATTTGGTTAACATGGGCATTTGTGGTACTTGCGGCGTATTGGGAGTTTGTATGGAAACGACGTGGCAGTAGTCCACACTTTTTACAAGAAACTATTTTGTACAAAGTTCTGTACAAATTTTACACTATTTATACAGTAATATAATACAAAAAAATTATGTACTTTATCACAACTCACATAGCTTCAAAACAAGATAGAAAATGATGGATGCTCAGCCCCGACACATCGATGATCGCGAAATTTGCGCGGCCCGCGCAATTTTCACGTTCAACACTCACCGATGCACTGATGACTTCCATTTTCGCCTCCCATTTGCTACGTGGGCAGACGGCACACAATTACCGTGGCCATCGGGGCGATTATTGAAATGACATCGACTCTATGTCGCCGCTTACGACAAGACATATAGCCCTATCTTAACCGTGTAATATATCGCAATTCGATATTCAAAACCATTACCTACAATTTCAGATATAAAAATGCAAATTTTTTGCAGCCTCGCTAAACGACTTATCAACCATGCATTCCAAAGTTTCTTATCACAGGGCTGTGAAAATATACAATCTAATAAATACAAAATAACCAAATATCTAAAAAGACAAAATTTCAGTTACAGTCAGTTTCAGTCTTATTGTTGCACAAACTAGTTATTTGACAAAAAAAGAAGATGATCACTCAATTGAAAGAAATTGGCGCCCAATCACAACGACAAGTTAAAAAAAATACTGTGGGAGAGATTTTTTAGGATGCGGACCTCCAAAGAGCCTTCAAAATTAAAAGTATACAACAAGTGATAGTGCCATGCATTCTGCATATCAAGGGCCATTACACATTTATACACCGGCTACGTAAATCTGCTAAGTTACAAAACATGAATCGACAGTTGTCGGATTGTACATCAGTGACAAAATGTGTCTAGGCCCTCATTCTTGACTACAACTACTGTCGCCAGAGCCGCTCTCCGACGCGAATGCGTTGGAGCTTCCTGCTTTTTTTAAACATTCAATTGAATAGCCATAAATTGATTTGGTGAATTCTTAGGTTTGTGGAGGAGGACCACGTTTAGCGCTATGGCATGTTCGGACACTCTCAGTGGGAACTATATTTAAATCGGTGAAAGATGAAGGAATCCATGTGTCTAAATTCTTAGAGGACAAAGTGCTGGCAGCTGGTGCTTCTTCATCTGTCTTCTTCTTAAGTTACAAAGATAAAATTCAGGCTGAAATAGAAACCTCTCAAATAACTGTGTATTCTGTTGCATACCAACTAGATCCAACCAAGGTATGTCATCATAACTTTTTATATTTTGTCATTTTTTATTATTAGTAATAAGGAGTATGTTGCGGTGAATCCACCTGTAAACGAAGCTCAATGAAGAGAAATAGCATGTCTGCACTTGGACCTGAGTGATTCACCTCAGCAGTCAAGTGAGTTTAGAAGAAACGTAGTCCATAGGAAGAAGGAACAGCTAAAGCTTTAGGCTACCTTTTTACTCTCTCAAGGCAAAGCTGAGTTGGCATAGAAAATATTACGAACAGTAGTTCAACTTATTTCCATGCTGAGCTCTGCACTTTGAAGAAATCGGCTGCCTTAACTTTACCTTTATTAAAGACCTCTGCATTTTCAGGAAACTAGCTCTTACAATGCATAAGTCACGGAATGAAAATCAGACAGAGTAAGAAACAGAATGGAATGATGAAACTTCTTGATCATTCCTAGCACCTGAAAAGTTTCGGGAAATCATGTGTTTGTGTGAATGTCATTTGAAAATCATGTGTTCATCTAACAATTTAGTCTTTTGATCGTCTTATTAAATAGCCATTAAGATCCAGAAAACTATCAAAGAATAATGGACGGAGTTGATACCATATGCTGGGGAGGGAAGTTTCTCTCTTCAATGAACTCGAATGTTCCTGTGTTTTGGCATTATTCCTGACTCAATATGCTTGCCAATGACTGGAAAAAGAAGAGACTGAGGCCTCCTAATCTTAAAATCAACATTTTATTTTATATTTTATATTTTACTTAATTCGTAAACAGGAGCCATTCCTTTATGGCACAGGTCCTGATCGTATGCAACAATAAATTCAGATCAGCTCTATTAGTAATATCTGACCACAACAACTTACCATTTCTTAGAATTACAAATCGTCCCACAGTCCATTTAAATTGTAGAATCATTTTTTGTAGTTCTGAAAAGTACTCTGATCTGCTCTAATTAAGATATTTTCTCGCCCAATCAAAAATTTGACATCCTATGGTATAATTTGGTCACTTCACCAGAATTTCATTTGACAAGCTTAAATTCACAACTTTACTTAAGCTTTCCACCAAGTGTTTGAAACCTTTCTTTAATATTACTTCTCCAATCCTTTAACATTGTCCTATCAAAGTTCGACCCTGACTCTAACCCTAAAAATGAGGTGCGGTAACCTTGGCGCAGTATCACACTAAGATTGTAACAAGATTATCCCCTAACGTTGTCCCAAGTTTTTTACAGTCATTGAATGCGAGCTAATCTCCCAATATTGTGGCTGTATTGAATCAATACCAGCAATAGGTTGGAAAATGGGAACTGCTAACGAACATAGCAGGGCTAATCCAAAGCCAGGAATCATCAACATTTTCATCCATCATGCGTGCTCAGTTCAAATCAGCTGAGCGGGGGATCTTACACTAAGGCAGACACAAAACCTGTCACATCATATTTTCCATCAGTCGCATCGGTGTGAGTGGTTGTGGTATACAGGGTGTCTCAAAAGTCCGGACCCCTCACCCACCCCCTTTCTAAAATTTTCCCTAATTGAGCTACTCATACGAAACTTTGGGAATTTTTCTAGGTCAAATTGAACTATTTTTTGGCATATTCAAAATTGAGGAGACGGCCCCCAACTTTTTGTTTTTCAAATGGCAGCCCCTCCCTCCTTTGTAGTACCTCGTTCAAAAAGGGATAAAGAAAAAACCTTTTTGTGCAATCTGCAATCCTTATCTTTATTTTTATTCACAATGGCGGCCAAGTATGGTGGGAAAACTGGCATTATTGCTCTTAGTCGATGGATTTATCTTAATCTCAGTATCCGGGCAAATTTTGAGACTAGATAAACGAATATGATGAGACTTCTTCAAAAAAGCTAATTTTTTTCATAATGGCGGTAAATTGGTATTTGTGACGTTTCTCAATGGACTTGCATCAAATTCAGTATCCAGGGGTATTTTGGAATGGAAAATACAAATCTGGTCTTATTTTTTAAAGTCATCGAAGCATTTTTACAATGGCGGTAAATTGGCATTTTAGTTTTTTTCGATGAATTTATCTGAAACTCAATATCGGGGGGNNNNCGAGAAAGATACAACTGGTGAGCGGTTCTCAATTTTTATTTATTTTTTTTTTTTAATGCCAACTTCTCGCCATTTTGAAGAGGCTTTGATGAATTTAAAAATTAGTATGTTGCATGTTGCACATTTTTTTAAAATTTTATCGGCACTACACAAATTAATTGATTAACTTAAGACTTTTTTGTACATACTATAACATGCTATACTTATAACATACTATACCTTATAATTTTGCTCATTACAGAAAGAGTGCTTGGACTATCTATTTTAATTAGCATGATTCGGGCTCATGGTAATGGTTTTATAAAATCTTCAACAGTACTGAAATCATAAAGTTTTTAATAACTCTTGTAATAATAATTATAATAACAAGACCAAAGAAATCAGTTTTTAACTATTCCCTAATTGTGTTATTATTCAATTTGAAAAATGTGCAATATGCAACAACATAGTGATAACTGGATAAGGAAGCTCCAAGGAGGGACGCTCGGAGGACAATCACGGATGTATGGAAAGTTGAAGGAAAAATGCAAGTTAGTCTCACTCGACCTAGAATTCTTATCGAAATGCAAAAAATCAGGTATTCTCCCCAACTTCATTCGAAATAAGTTCCCAAAACTTGTAGACGACCCTCTAAAATTGAAGTTAATGCAAACAACTTTGAAATGGGAATGCCAATTCAAATATTAAAAAAGAGACCATCTATATAAAATGATCATGTGTTTACACTTAGAACTACTGGAAAAGCTGCATCATATAGAGTTCAGATCATTTGATGATAAAGTACATTTAAAAATTAGTATAGTTGTCCATAACTAAAGACAAAAACTAGACATAAAGCTTAGGAGCCTGCTTCAAAACCAACGGATTGCACCTCAAAGAAATGTAATTAATTGGGATCCTAAAGTGTGCAAGTTATCCGAGGAAATTTTCACTACAGAAGAGATGGATTTATTTAACAAAGGGATTAAGTACTGTCCTCCCCCCTCTAATATAGAAAAAATCCTGATCGACCTAGTAGTGGATGCTAATACTAAAATTAAAGATAAAGGAATCCTGAACAATATCATGAACTCAGTAGACATATACTACGAAACACAAAAGGAACATAGGGCATCAAAGGAAGACCTAAAAGTTCATAGAGCCTTAAAAGACATAAAAGCCAAAATCAAAGATAAGGATCTAACTATCACAAAAGCGGATAAATGCAATACTCTAGTCATAATGAAGAAAACTGAGTATCACAATAGAGTTATTGAATTCATAACCAAGAATAGAATCCAAGTGTACAGGGGAGACCCAACATCCACTATAAAACAAAAAGTAAATGAGTTACTCTCGTCGTGTAGAGAAACTATAAAAAACTCTAGCTTCTTAAAAGAAATGAACCCTAGACCCCCGATACTAAAGGGCTACCTAAAAATTCATAAAGCCTCAGAAGAAGTGGGGATTAATGAGGTTCCAATCAGACCAGTAGTTTCAACCAAAAACAGTCCCACGTCTGAACTAGAAAGCCACCTCGTTAACATATTCCAGAATTATGTAAAGTGGAAACCCATATATGGGGTAAAAAATTCCATCGATTTAACTGAGAAACTAAAAAATATCAAACTCCCAAAAAATGCCAAATTAGTTTCATTGGACGTAGAGAATTTATTCAATAATGTCGACAACAGGGTAGCCATAAAGAGAACGGAAAAAGTAATGAAAATCCATTCAACAACGTCCAATAAAGAAATTGAGGAATATATCAAACTCCTAGAATTTGCTCTAGCCACAACTATTTTAAATATAACGATCAATTCTACCAATTTTTAGGTGGGTTAGGGATGGGAGCCTCGACATCTCCCCTCCTAGCAGACGTTTTCATGGACGACATAGACAACATTATCTGTAGTCTTAAGAAATGGAAAAACAAATTTCAGGCATACTATAGGTACGTTGATGACTGCTTTCTGATATGGATGGGTTCGTGGAGAGAATTTGACAATTTCTAAAAGATATAAACGAAATTCAGCCAAGAATTACATTCAAAGCCGAAAAGGGAGTGGACAGACTTAACCACCTAGATTTGACCATAAAAATAAAAAATGGCAGACTAAAGTTCGAAATTTTCAGGAAAGATTGTTATACCGACTCAATAATTCCCGTAAACTCGTACCATAGCGGCAGCATAAAATGTCTGCATTTCATAGCATGTGCTATAGACTGGTTAATGTACCTATAGACAAAATAGCGTATAATAAGGAGCTAAATTCTATAATAAACATAGCTGAAAACAATGGATACAATAAGAAGGACATCCTAAAATTAGTCAGAAGGAAAGCTAAAATAAAAAGAGAAAAACTCCTATTTGGCGGGAAAACGGCAAACGACTTAGCTTGGGTTTCAATCCCTTTCTTTAATAATCTGTCAGATAAAATAAAAAGATCCACCAAAAACAAAGTGAAGATAACATACAGCAATCAAAGAAATCTGGGTAACCTACTCATCAACACAGGTGAAAAAATAGACTCACTTAAAAGAAGTGGAGTGTACAAGATTATTTGTGAATGTGGAAAAATTAACATAGGTCAAACTGGACGTACAGTACAAAAAAGATTTCAAGAACATAAAAATAATGCAAACAATAATAGAAAAAATCATTCCTCAATATCAAACCACCTGAGAGACTCTAATTGCAACCCACATAAGTGCAAAGTAAACCTAATTAGAGAGTGTAATAAAGGCAAAAATTAAATGTACTCGAACAATTAGAAATAGACCGTCATATAAATAAAAAGCTCCTTAACTTTCAATTAGAGAGCTGTGTGACGACATTGACAACACCGCCAATCTTATTCAGTTCATACAAGGAGAATGTAGTGAAAACATCTGATAAGAAATTAGCTGATCGAGAGGACGAGAGCAGCGATAATAACTGCGCTGGCGCGGCTATCACGCCGGATTTTTGAACCTTTCCATACCAATACCTGAAGATGGGCGGCCTGCCCGCTCGAAATGGCCATAGTGCGTAGAGAACAATAAGAAAGTAAGTGCTATATAATCGGTTTTCAAAAAAGTTTTAAGTTAATCAAATAATTTTAAAAAATTAGGTAGCTTCGCGCCCTATAAGGTCGACTATGCAAACCTCTTTTGGGTCGTTTCCTCGTCTCAAAAAATCCCCGGATACCAAGATTCAGATGAACCCATCGACAAGGCAGCTAATATGCTCATTTCCCGTCATTCTCGGCTGCCATCTTGAAAGGATATGAAGATTGTGGATTGCGGATTGCGCGAAATAATGTCTTTTTTATCCTCTTTCGAACAAGGAGGGGGGGAGGGTTAACATTTGAAAAAAAAAAAATATGTTAGGGGCTGCCTCCCCAATTTTGGTGCCAAAAAGTAGTTATCCTCGACCTAGAAACATTCCCCAACTTCCGTATCAAAAACTAAAAATTAGGGAACATTTTAGAAGGGGAGTGCGGACTTGTAGGGCACCCTGTATGTTCAGAAATTACGAATCTACAGCTGAAGAATATTTCGATTGGTGATTCAATCAACTCTCATCTAAAAAATATTATTCGTAATTATAAACTAGTTTGATTTCAATTTTTTAGGTCATGAGTATTGCCGGTTCCAGCTCAAAGGTCGACTTATGCACAAACTTTTACTATCGAGATCACGTTTTGTCATTAATTTAGTTCCTAAATAAATCAACCAACTTTTCATGTGTTCTTTTGTATTTTGTAAATACATATTTTAAGTTATGTAATTTTTATTTAATTGTATACTGAAAGTTTTAAACTGCTAAAATCTGAAAAAATTAAAACTCACGATTTTACGATTTGTTTTAGGGGTCTAAATAGGGTTCGATAAATTTGAATGTTTTACCCAAGAATCTGATTGGTCTCATGTATATTTGATGAAATTGGTGCATTATCGTCGAAGAATGCGGGAGATTTGAAATAAAACGTGAAAATTCCCTGAAAAATGGGCTTTTCGGGGCTGGAGGAGGGTTCCCCGTTCTAAACTTTTTCGAAATTCCAAGATGGCTAGTGCTAAAAAGTTGCGTTTTGGCGTAAAATTAACGCTCCATTTTTTTCAGAATTTTCGGACGATGTCCCGAGTCCGTCCCGACGCCATCTTTGTTGCCAAATTTTCGATTTTTTCGAGAAATTGTCTGGACTGTGTTTAAGGTGGATCCCTACTACTGTAGTTGAGAAAACCGCCACCACGTGGCGCTTCGCCGAAATCTGTCGTTTTTTCCATGTTTTTCGATGCATCTGGGCGATTTGCTCAGACATAAGCCAGACTTGCGAAATTTTCTTAACGTTACTACAAAGATTATAGTATGCTGAACAGTTATGTGCAATCAGCTTCTTTCCGCGATCATTATTTGCGGAGAAACTATGCACGCCGCGATGAAAGTTCAGATTTCTGCGCATTTCAAAATGCCCGCGCAAACCTTTACATTCTCGGCCGGTTATCGAAAGGAGTGGGGGTCCGAATCCTAATGCCTGGCAATTCTCTCCGGTTTCTGTCCTTTTCTTTCTCCCCTCCCCTCTCATCACTCTCTATCTCAGGCCTCCCTTACTCTGTGCCTGCGCGCGCACCTCCGGATCCGACGCGAAGTGTCATCACCCCACACGGATGTGTAAGGCCCGGTAGCTCTAGCAGTCGAAGTGACACCTATCTTTCGCTCTTTCCTTGTCCTCCCGATGAACAGGTGCAGGTCAAGGACCCAATTCGGGTCTCGGTCGCTGCTTTTAGACGCCGACCCAAGTTAGACCAAAGATGGAATTCCCTATTTCTTTCATAAGGCCGTTGACCTATCGGGACTAGAGGTGCTAAATTATTGTATGCGTTCATGTAAGTGCATATGGTGTTTTACTCGTACGTCCTCCAAACTCTGCATTAAAATTTTATCAACCTTTACAATATTTCATTCAGAAACTGCACCTTTTATTTGAATATCTGATCAGAACAAATCAAAATTTTCTCGGAAACATCATGCACGTATTTATGGGTGATCTGTAAAAAAAATATAAGTGTATACAGGGTTATTCAAAGTTACGCACCACTGGCCATAACTTCAGTTCTATAATTACGATAAAGACTTTCGGTTTGTGGCGTCCATCTTCATATTGAGGGGGAAACTTTTTGAGGTACTTTTTAGTTCTAAACCCCCCCCCCCCAAGGGGAGACGGGGCGGGGGGCAACTCAAAAATTTCAAACGGCAACTGCCATCATGTCATACGAGTACATCCTTAGAAAGAGCATAAAAAAAGAAAATTTTTGGCGCAAACCGGAAGTCGATCCGACCCTCTCCCCCCCATCAAAAGTTCAAAAGTTAGGGGGGGTCCAAAGGTTATTTAGGTTTCCATTTTAAAATGAAGCAAATTAATGAGTTTAAGACTGATGACTCCGGACACTTTGATGCTACTTTGATCGGAACTGGTTCGGGAATTTGATCGTCTATGGAGGGCTTATGGATCTCGATGATTCGGCCCTCCAATACATAAATCGCTGAGAGGGCCATATATGCCGCCGTAAAATTGATGTTGTACGAAAAATAATAAATATTTTTCAAAAAACTTAAAACCACTGTACTCGTGAGAGTATAAGCTTTCAAATGAGCTCCAGTTGAGCTTGATCGGATCATTTTTAAGGCCAAGGCGGCATCAGCCCGGTAACTTTTTGAACACCCCGTATGCACTATAGGTACGACCCCCTTGGATCCGCCCACGTTTTGCCGGTTAAAAATTTAATCTTCCACTTCGCTCTCCAACCACATCGATATCTTTTCAAAAAAATTGTGCCCTAGGGTGACATGAAACCAAAGAAAGGATAGGTGTTGCGATTTGGGCCGAAATCGGCCCCTTCCACGGAATCGAGTTCCACGCCATGTTTTTCGAAGAGTTCTTGAAAACTCCACGGCTGACATCGAAGTCTTCATTTTGCCCCCAGGCCGCCACAGCTCCCCCAGTGGAGGATGGGCCTGTTGCAATGAAAAATTTCACTAAAATGCAAAAAGTCACAAAAGAGCTTCAAACTCAGCATCGAGTCCGAGTACAACTTCTTACCAATGTTAACGCGGACACAGCCTATGAATTAAAAGAGAGTATTCAAAACTCTTAACCCCCTGCCCCCCTTCATTTTTGGTTGCGGAGCGGGAAAAACCGGGAAATTCGGCAGAAATAATGCCCGATCTATTGTCCAACTTGACGAGGACCCTTGAAACGTTGCGACCAGTCGGAGGACTGCAATACAGAGACTGCCGCCCACTTTAGGGACGGATAAATCCATAAAACTGCCCCCTGAATTTCATTCGTTATCCTTGACAAATTCAATTTTTGCCTCTTTATTGTACCTGAGAATGGACGAGTATTAACACCAGTTGCTGCCTTCTTAAAAACGTTCTGTCCAACATGGATGAAGTTGTGAATATTGAACATTTATTTCTTCCTACGCCCATTTTTTTCAACTCCGATAAAGAGAATTCCTGGAGAAAGAAGACCGAAATGATGCCGAAAAGTAGTGTCCAACTTAAACCATTTCCCGGTTTTTACAAGCTCCGCCGCGACGAAAAATGAGGGGAGCATTGGGGGTTTCATGGATTTTTCCGTCTCTAAAGTAGGCGGCAGTCCCTGTATTGCAGTCTTACGACTGGTCGGAACGTTTCACGGGTCCTCGTCAAGTCGGACGTTACTTTCAGGCATCACCCAAGTAGCATGGATTGCAATTTCATTGCAATGGATTGTGAGTTGATTGCAATTTTTGCTTGTTGCCTATACGTTCATTTGAAGGCGCTTAAAAAGTTGCAATTGTATTGCAATAAGTTTGCAAGAAATGTAGATTATGCTTGTTGCCTAACCTTCTTTTTCAAGGCACTATAAAACTGCAATTTCGGTGCAATCATGTTGTAACAAATTCACGCCATGTGCCTGGCATCCAAT